CCAGAATTCCCCAGCCAGCATTCGCTGGCTGGGGAATTCTGGGAGTTGAAGTCCAGACATCTTCAAGTTGACAAGGTTGAGAAACACTGTTCTAAATGAAAACTAAAAGGGAGGTATGCTCTCAAGAATTACTGTGCTGCTGAGTGGAGTTGTTTACAACCTGTCAAGCCAACTGTCCTAGAACTCCAGATGGATGAAATACCTGAAGATGAGCCTCACAGAATGGATGTTGATTGAACCCTCAGCACTGGACCCTGTGGGGGGAAGGATTGGGGGAAACGTTTGATCTGTCACTTTCATGCCTTTGGATTCAGATCTTGCCTTGCTTTCGCTGCTATCATTTCAAACTCAGCAAAAGTTCCTCTTCTCTACTTCAGTGGAGTTGGAGGTTTTCTTTCTTGGGTTTTGAACAGAGGGAGGCCTGACATTACTAGGATCTGCTTTATCAGCCAACTCAGAGACCCCAGTTTACCAAGGGGACTGAGCACACAATGTTAACCCATGGGAGCGACCAGGAAGACTGGGGTTGACCTCCCCCCAGCCACACCACTCCCAGAGGAGACAGAATGGCTGGAAGAGCTGCAGTTCAAGGAGAACCCAGTCTGAGCCAGATGGTTGTGGGCATAGGATGCATGGAAGACCCTGAGGAGCACCCTCCAGGGGTAACTCTCACCAGAGGATGGCATGGAGATTACACCTTACAAGGAGACCTCCTCTGACCCATGCCTTGCAACTTCTGCAGGAAGTATTTGAGTCAGAGATCGTGGGAGGGGGGGTCCCTCACACAGAAGCATGCCCTGCCAGTGCACAGAGAAGCTGGAGAGGCAACAGGGGGAGCCACCCTCTTTGCAACCTCAGCTGTGATCCCTGTAACTCAGCAGGGGCCAGCTCTAGTTGCAGGAATCCCTGAAGCCCCCCCCCCCCCCCCCGTGGATGGGCCATCCCCCAGAAGCACGGAATTCCTAAGTTTCCTCCATTGGGAGTAAAATATGAAGGGGATCCCAAAGCCCTGGGATTCTTCCTAGCTCAAGTCTGGAGAAGACTTTGCTTCAGAGGCAGCCAAAGTGAGATGTGTCACCACAGTCCTGGAAGGGGCTTCTGCGGACTAGATGGTCATTCTTCACAACAATGCCCACTCCCCAGATAAGGGATTATGGCCAGTTTATGATGGCACTCCACAGGCAATTCGAGGACTCCATAGCTGAATGCAAGGCTAGGACCAGGTTGAAGAGCATCATCCAGGGGTGGATGTCAGTGGCAGGATACACCAAGGAGTTCCGTGAGCTGGGCTGCCACATGACTGGCTAGCCCTGGAAGTCCTGATGGAATGCTACAGGCATGGTTTTAACAAAGAAATCTATCAAGGCTGCATCTCCCAAGGGGCCCCTTGAGACCTCCAGCAATGGAATGAGTTGGCAGCTGAGGTGGAAATCAATCTGGCTAGAGACCAGCACCAAGGAAACCACAGTTGGAGGAAGCCTTCCCTCTCTGTTCCTAAAGAAGCCCTGAGAGCTGCCAAGGGCAGGCCAGCAATCAAACACAGCATGCTTCAAGTGTGGGAAGGAGGGGCACCAAGCAGTTGATTCCTCACCAAGCCAAGCTCCAAGTTGGCAACTGCTGGATGCAGGAGGTCTGTTAAGCAGCCGGCAAAGCACTGCAAAACAGCACTGAAAGGGTAGAGATTGTTGAGTCTGGCCAAGATGTTTGTGCAGCACAGTTACCAACTGTATGGAGTCCCAAGATGCATCATCTCAGCCGAGGGGGTGCAGTTTACAGCAAAGTTCTAGCAGGACTTCATCAAGCAAATAGGGTCAGCCCAGGGACTTAGTTCTACACGCCATCCGAGCACCAATGTGCTAGTGGAATGCACTAATGCAAAAGTGGAGCAATACCTATGGTGCTATGTAAACTATTAGCAAACCAACTCGGTGGAGTTCCTACCTTTCACAGAAGTGGTTTATAATAACTTGTTGCATAGTAGCACTGGGTTCACCCCCTTTAAAATGGCCATGGAGTTTGAGTTTGTACCAATGCCTGAATTTCTGAGGGAACCCCACCCCTCAGTAACTTGGGTAAAAGTGCAGAAATCCCTGAATAAAGCAAGATACTGTCTCCCAAGTACAAAGGCCCATTCCCAATTGTTAGAATTATAAATCCTGTTACACTGCAATTACACTTACTAAGGCTACTCAGACGAATCCACCCAGGATTCCACTGAAGCTTATTGAAACCCTTCTGAAGTTCTAAGTTAAGACCAGCTGAAGGGAAGCCCCCACCTTCCATGGTGGTGGTGGGAAAAGTATGAGATAGAGAAGATACTGGATTCAAGGTACTTTAAGGAGAAATTATAGAGCGCAGTGCAGTGGAAAGGATATCCTTCAGCTGATGCCGAATGGATAAGTGCCCACAAAGTTAGCACAGATAAGTTGGTAAGAAGGTTCCATGCAAAATACCCGCAGTGACTGAAGGGGTTAGTGAAGGCTGAGACCACTTAAATAATACTAATCTGTGTTTAATGTTTTCCAGGTGCCCCTTTATTTTGAAGGAGGGGGGTGTCAGCATGTCAGGATTGAACCACTTTGCTTTATACAAAATGTAATGTGTCTCAACTTGCCAAAGAACTGGGGGGAGGGAAGGGGGAAATGGAATGCCGAGAATGTATGCGGAGATCATGGAAACCATCAAGGTAACCACTGCAAGTGCTGGAGAAAGAGGTGGATTGTTCCCTTAACAAATGGACACCTCGTTATTGGATAATCTGTTCACCCAGGGATGGGGAGAAAGGGAAGCTTTTTTTTTTTTTTTGCTAGGCAAGCAATGGAGAAACCAGAGCTGGTTTTGTATCTTCAGTAGTAATATCGTGTGTCCAATAAAGTTTTACTTTTGGGAATTCAAAGCTCCCACGAGTTTTTTGTTGATTTGGGTTCACCTGTTAGACAATTGACGCTGTCATCCCCAATTGCAGCTAGAAAATTGTGAACCCCTCTCTGAAACCAGTCTCTGTGGAATCAAATACTGGTCTCCAAATCCAATAATCAAGGCTCATTGCAATATTTATGCATTTATTTAATCAGGCTGCATCCCAAGTTACTCCCCTGTCCTTCTACTGTTACTGTCTTCATGAGAAAATTATTGTCTTAATAAAAAAAAACATATCAGTTGCATTGCCACAGAAGTTAATCTCTGTTTCTGTAAGCCGCCCGGAGTCCTCCGGGATTGGGCGGCCTATAAATTTAATAAACAGTTAAACAGTTATGATAAAGCATATTGATATCCTGCTCACCTAGAAGTTCGAAAGCATGCAAATACAAATAGATAAATAGGTAGGGACTTGCTTTGTGCTGCATAAGCAACCGGGATGGGAGGATGGCCCAGACAGAATTTGGGATGGGGAAGGGTTGCAGTGGGAGCATCCCCAAGTTCCATCTACTCCTTGGTATGAGGTTGGTATTTTCCATTCTGCTGTGGGTTGTATGGTTTTCTATTGTTGGATTTGTATCTTCTGCATTAGGCAGGTAGAAGTGGGGAAGTGTTCCTCTCCCTTTGCCCTTGTGGGGTGGTGTGAGTGGCCTCTGGCCAGAGGGTGACCTCAACATGACACAGGAGGGGTGAGGGAAGGACACATCACTGGCAAGTTTCTCCATTCCATTAGAAACAGGGTAGTACCTCTATCAAAAAGAGTTATCCAGACTTGAAAAGTTTACAGATTTCTGGGAAGCTTTCAAACAACTTTCCCTCATTTCATGGCTGTCTTCCCAGTCTCACCCTTCAACTCCCAAATATATTAAATAATGAAGCAAATCTGAAGGGGGGTGTTCTTTGGGGGGGGGGAGACAAGGCACTAATGAAAGCAGATGCAGAGAAGCAAGGTGGAGCACCCCTCCGGCCCCTCCCACTAGCCACACTAGTAAAAGATCTGATTGGCTGGTCCATAGAAGCACCCTTGTCCCAAAGGCTCCTCTTAAAAGCTGCCAAGGAAGACGATGAAGTGAAGCGGCAGGAGGGAGACTCATCTCAGTCATCTGTCAATCATCTCCAGGGTGTGGCTGGGCCCGCCTTCCTCCTCCTCCATCTGCTGGGAAGAAAACCAAGGCCACAGTTGAGCTTCAGGAGAAACAAGGCAGAGGTCCAAGGGACAACCAGCTAGAGCAGATCAGAAGGTGCAAAAGGAGAAGGGGAAATTTGGCTGCAGTATTTGTATTCATTCATTCATTCATTCATTCATTCATTCATTCATTCATTCATGTTCTTCCTGCTACCATGAAGGAGGGGGGCTCAAAGTGGAAACCTATGTTGATCTTATGGAGTGACTTTGTGCAACCGTTTTTCACAGCTTGCCTGACATGATCTCTTGGGGTGGGCAAATCTGACTGATTGAGATGAAAGAGGCTTTGTATTGTGGAAGCACTTGGGATCAATCTCAACATGTAGATCTTGAGAAATAAAGAGGATCCTCTGGGGGTGATTAGATCCCTTTCCTACTGGTTGGTCAGAGTGAGGTGCTAGGGGGATAGATGGAGGTGGTGGTAAATGTCTCTTTGCTGAAGAGATATTCTTCAACCTTTGCCTTTGGGGATGCTGAGGTGATGATTGGACCGCAGGTAGACAGTAGAGCCCTAGCTGAAGCAGACCCTTCGTGGGTAGGAAAGAGCAAATTCATCTGCTCCAGTGTGAATATTCTCTATGGTTTTTATTCTAATAGCAAATTAACCCTGTTCCTCTGGATCATCCATGATCTCCCCTGGGGCAGAAGGAGAAGGAAAGAAGAAGAGAAGTGTGGGGTTTCTCAGAGGGCTTCCTTAGGATGGTACCTTTTCTGGATTTCTCCATGGGAATGAGTTCCATGCAGCCAGAAAGAAGGAGACTTCCCCCTAGACTAAGGCACAGCAGGGCCCAGAGAGGCAGCCCTGAGAGGTTCTTGGTCTGTCCTGAAAAAGAGCAACAGAAAAGTATTGGGGGGGGGGGATGAAGCAAGAGTCTTTGTTTGCTAGTTAGACTAAGAACCCATCAAATGCTGAATGATGAGCTGACTTCATGTTTTTGTATGCTTCTCCCTGACTGTATCCCCCCCCATCAGATCCGGCAGAATCAACCTGCTTGGAGCCCTGTTGAATTGGGTGAGTGATCTGATGGGACCAGGAGGGATTGCACCATCAGGAGCCTCCACTCCCACCTCCCATGGCTCTCCTGCACAAACAACCGTGGGATATTCTACCTTTTCTCTCCCAACTCAACCTCAGCTTCATCTTCGGTCCTTTTTCATGGAGAGAAGAACTTACCAGAACAAACATCCTTTAGGAAGACCGTTTTGGATGCCTTGCTAATCAGATTTTCTGCCCTGCAGGTGACACTGACATTCAGATCCTGGGAGGTGACTTTGATCACAGCATCATCGGGGGAACGATAAGGCCGGTAGATGGGGGATTCCCAGCTGAATTCCACCCTGTCTTTCCAGTCCCCTGTGGAGCAATTCAGCTGCCAGGTTCCATTTCCAGCCCCGTCAGAACTGCAGGTCACTCTCATCTCAGAATTCTGCAAATATCCTGAGCAGGAGATGCAGAGAAACATCACATCACAGTGAGGCATGTGGAGGCCCACCAAGATAGCAGAAACAAAGCACCCCTCATCCTTTGCCTCCCCCCAATTCCTCCTTACACCAAACCAGGGACTTAGGACATGATGATGACTCTCCAGGATCCCCTCCTCAAGGACCCCTCAACATTTCCCCAAAGTTTGTGGGTCCAGCCAGTCCCACCAGATCCACAAAGAGGATCCTGAACTGCCTCTCTGGAGATCCAGCCTCAAAGCCCCCCTGCCTCTCTTCCTGCCACCCCATCTGGGAACCCACTTGGCCTGCTCCAGTCCAGCCTGTGCCCCATGGAGAAGGGAGCCTGGAGGGGGTTGTGATGGGTCCCCACAGGTCCCTTTCCATTGAGGAAGAGCATGCAGGACACAGTTTGAGCTCCGTGTCTAAACCATCGTAGAAATGCCCGTCCTCAGGTGTGCCAAAGCTCCAGGCATGGGAGATGGAGCAGCAGGGAGAAAAATGTAGGTATTGGGGGGGAGGGGCTAAATGTAAGCAAGGCTGATGAGAAGACCTTGAACTGATTTTCATTGCTGAAATGGACAAAAACTACTGTGGTGGACAGAGCATGCTGGGACAGCAGTTCCAATGGAGGGAGCATCAAGCTCAGATACTGGACACCTGAAGCCCCCCTCCCCAAACAGAAAAGCCTCCCAACTCTCCACATCACCTGGGTAAAGGAGGGAGGCCAGGGATTTCCTACCATGGCTGGGATACTTACTTTCTACCTCCAGTTCAAATGGCTGATATTCCACTTCTTCAGTTGGTAAAGCAATTTCTGCATAATAAAAGCCTCTGTCATCCTGCTCTAGATGGCTGAGTTGCAATGCTCTGCAGTCCTTGGAGACCTTCATTCTGGTCTCCAAAGCTGGGAGGGGGACCTGCAGGCCACAGGGCTTCCCAAAGGTCACCACAGAAATAATTTCAGGCTTGGAAACATCAATTTTATTCCAGGAAATTGATACAAATGATAGATTAGTCTTGACTTGGAATGTGACAGACTCCCCCACAATGCCTCTCAGAGATACTCTTTTAGTAACTCCTGCAAAGTCAGAGAGAAGAGAGAAGAAGAGCTCAAGATTGGGCCACAAGGGACCTCCGAGCATCCCATTTCTTTGCCTTAGATTCAAGAAAAACCTCTTCTGAGAAAGGACAAAATGGCTCCAGCATAGCGGACATGATGGAGCCTCTCTGGGCCTTGGGCTTTCCTTCTTGAGCAGGGGGCTGGACTAGAAGACCTCCAAGGCCTTATTCTGTTTTATTGTGTTCTATTCCATTCCATTCCTTTCCACTCCATTCTTATTCTATATATTGTTCTGTTCTGTTCTGTTCTGTTCTGTTCTATTCTATTCTATTCTATTCTATTCTATTCTACTCAAAGCAAGAGATCCATAGGATCTGAGTCTTTCCCTTGGGGTCAAAAGGATGATCTGCCCCAGCAGAGAGACCCAAAGCTCTACCAAGGCTGACCAGGCCACCTGAAGGAAGGAGGACACCTGACAGGGTCACTAAAATGCCAGTTGGGTTTAATCTCTCTCTGCCACCAACTGGGACCCCATATGATGCCACCAATTTATTATCTCCCCTTCAACCAGGGTGGAAAGAGCAAGGTCAACAGGGAAAGCTGGAGGGCCCAGAATAGTCCAACTGGTTCTTGTGTGTATCACAGAGGGTTAGACTAGAAGGTCCTTGCGGTGCTTTCCAACAGCATCTGCAGAAGCCCAGCTCTTGTTCCTGGATTCCCACTCCGAAGATAGTAATAGCAATAGCAGTAGACTTATATACCGCTTCATAGGCCTTTCAGGCCGCTCTAAGCGGTTTACAGAG